TAAAAAGCAATAAACAAGAATTGTTTGATACTTTATAAATAAGTTTTATTACAAAAAAACTTAAAACAAGACAAATACAATATTCCTTTTCTTTAAAATGTACATGGTTTTAAATACTACCCAATTTATTCAATTTTTCATGTAAAGCCTCTGGAAACTTTGAACAATTTTCCTTAGCACAAACTATACAGTGAGTTCCATTAAAATAAATACTACAGTTTGGATCTTTACATACAGCTTTAGAGCACAAGAGGCAGTGACTCCCCAGTACCAAGAATTCTCCTTGTTTAGGGGGTAGAAATGGATCTTCTATAAGGTAAGCATCTTCATTTAATTTATAAACTTTTGTAAATGGTATTTCTTTTCCGAAATAATCGTATCTTTCCCTTAAGTCGCAATTAGAGCATATAAACATTTTTTCTTTTGTACTTTGTTCTTCACTGTCTTCGTTTGATTTCATTATATTTTCTGAAACAAATGAATTTGTTTCATATTTTTATACGAAACTATAGTTATGTTTAGGAATATACAATTAAACACAGTTAAACATTTTTTAAATTAATTTGATAAAAAAAAACATTACTTTTCTCCTCAAATATCGATTTAAGATTTTAAATTTTTAGATTATCGTTTCTTTTTTCTTAATAATTCAGTAAAATATTGTAATAATTTATTATTAGATTGTACTACTACAGTTATCAAGTTTTTACAAGGGTAATTGCAATTTTAGCCTTTTTGTGAAATAACTTCTTTTGGAGCTTCTACAGGCCACCAAAACGGACGTTCTGTTTTTGCCAAACCATTTCCTATTTCAATCTCTTTCATTTCCAAAGCTTCAGATATTTTAAGTAGAGCTATTCCGGAGTCATCTTTGATGCCTCTCAAAATACCCAATCTTTTACCGTTTCTTTGGATTTTCAAATCTTCCACAGATCCTGTAGGTATTTTTATAAACTGTAAGGGCATTAGTCGTTTGCGAACAACACCTGTATGATGTGTTCGTGCCGTAAGTTCTTGTCCAATGTAGCATCCTTTATGGAAACTTACACCATGTAAATAATCACAATTGCTTTCTAAAGGGAAGCAGTTGCCTGGTGGTAAATCATTAATCCCTTCTCCTACACCTAGTTTATATCTAAACCACTGATAATTTAGTTTTGATGCACTCCAGTTAAACTGATATAATTCTCTAAGTTGTTCTTCAATATTGCAGTTGGTAGGTGCAATAATTCTATTACCCAAAAACACGATTCTTGGGTCCACAAAAATTGCTAGATCCTTATACATTTTAAAGGTGTTCAAACCACTAGGGAGAGTTGTGTTCAACTGAGTGCAGGAGACTATTGTGCCTTCTAATTTTCCTGGATTTGAAATATGTGCATGTTTGGTTTCTAAAGCATTTTCAATATTATACAATGCATAAACATCAAAATCACCAGTCAGATCACGGACCTCAATTTTTCGTCTTACTTTATAAATTTTTAAGTGCTTTTGGAGTGAATTTAGGCTTTGTTTATCACATTCAATCAAGAAG